CTACCTCTTTGCTGCCTTCAGCTGCTTGCAGGTGGGTGCCAGCAGTTACCCTCTGGGGCCACTCTGTGACCTCTGTTCTGGGGCAGCTGCAGTGAGAAGGCGATGCAGGGAGGTGGGGGGAGGCTTAGCACGGGCGTGCGCTTGCAGAGGAGGAAGCCTGTGTTCTCTACTTGTCCCAGCCCTGCCTCCGGGCCGAGTCTGTCAGGACATTGCCTCGGCTTGGGCAGGACAAAGCTTGTTCCCACCTCCCATCTCCACTCCTGCAGGCTGGCCCAAAGCCCGCTGGGGTTCTCAGGAAACAGGGGTAACCCTTTATGCTTCACACCAAGTACTGCCTAGTAAATTTATGGCATAATGTTGGCGGCCCCTGATGGTCCATAACGCTGTGGATTGTGTTACCCTGTCCCCTGTGAAGGAAGCGGTAGCCCCGCCTGGAGGGGAGGCCGAGTGGGGCTTGGGGTATCTCCCGGATCATGCCAGCCAGACTGCTCTGAACTAGGCTTTCCTCCCTGGACAGCCAGATGCCTGATGCAGCAGCATCAGGACCCTGAGAGTCACACTGACCTGACGCCCATCTCCCTCCAGGGCATCTTTGTCCTCCTGTTCCACTGTGTGACCCACAGGGAGGTACGGAAGCACCTAAGGGCAGTGCTGGCCGGGAAGAAGCTGCACCTGGATGACTCAGCCGCCACAAGGGCCACACTACTCACGGTAGGAGGTGCCAGAGACCCCTTCAGGCCTGGGAGCTGGTGGCACTGTTCATGGTAGGGTAGGGAGCTGTGAAGACCCAACAAACTGCGCTCTGGTCTGTAGGCTTCATATATTGGAGCTGTCCATACACCACAGGGCAGAATTGTCCTGACAGTTTCTGTGTCCAACTATAGCCCCACTTGCAAGGTCCTTGGAGTGGCCAGGACAGATATCCATGGGACAACCAGAAGCAATGTCCATAGGGAGTTAGATGTTCCCACTGTGTGGGCCAGGGAATATTCTCCCCTTTGCCACGAGGCTCCAGTTTGCGGCCAGTCAGAGTGCTACCATGGGGGCTGCTGGAGGGAAGTACCAACCTCTGTGACTTCTGCTCTGCTCACCAATGCCCCCCCCTTTCCCCTAGCGCTCCCTCAACTGCAACAACACATACAGCGAAGGACCAGACATGCTCCGCACAGCCCTGGGCGAGTCCACGGCCTCTCTGGACAGTACCACCAGGTCAGGCCTCTGTACCCACTATTTTCTCAGGGTAAAACACCCTGGCTGTGAGCCCTGCTATTCCAGATGCCCAGTCTGCCCACCCCCCATATATTAGCAAGGGTGTTTTATCAGTTACTGCTGTCGCTAGAGCACAAATAGGATGGCTTTAGAGAATCTTCGAGCCCCCTGTGGCCTCCCATAGTACGTGCTCGAGGACATTGACAGCCCATTGCTGTCACTCAGGGACAGTGCTGAGCCCATCCCACTTCTACCCTGTCTAGGAATGAAGGGATCCAGAAGCTCAGTGTGTCCTCTGGCCCAGCACGTGGTAACCATGGAGAACCAGATACATCCTTCATCCCTAGGAACTCCAAGAAACCTCATGGTATGGCTTCCCCTGTGGGCTCCAGAACCCCTGCTCCCTTCTTGCTCCCCTCCTTTCTTAACCCTCCATCACTGAGGTACTGGACTGCCTTGCGTTCCGGGGCTTTGTGAGGGTGGGGGCCACCAGCTCTCCCCATCCTGTTTGAGCACTGGTGACCTCATGCTCAGCTGGAGTCAGGGCCTGCCTGAGCTTTACTGTGCCCTGCCCCTGCAGGCCCTGACTCCGACTCTGACAGTGAACTGTCCCTGGATGAGCACAGTAGCTCCTACGCCTCTTCACACTCATCAGACAGCGAGGACGATGGTGATGATGCCGAGGACAAATGGAATCCGGCTGGAGGCCCCGTCCATAGCACCCCAAAAGGTGAGCAGCGGAGACACAGCAGGCCAGAGTGAACCGTCAACAGTGGGCTATGGGCACGCCCATAGAAACCCCAGAAGTTGCCCATAGCATGTGCTGGGCAGAGGCAGGAATTTAGGGGCTCACACAGACTTATCATTATGGAGGGCTGGGCAAGCATGCAAAGAGCAGCCAGCATGTGGCCCCCAATGTTGGCTGCAGCAGTGGGGGGGGTCACATACCAGGGTACACAACATCAAGGTGTGGTCTCAGTGTCTCCATCTTTAGTATATGACCCTGCTAGTCCAGCAAGCCAGAATGAGGTCAAGGCAACTCTCAGGGTCTACCAGGCCTGGGTATTACAGGGGTGTGGCTGTAGGTCTAACCTAGTGTCTTTCTTATTTCAGCAGATGCTCTAGCCAACCATGTCCCAGCTGGCTGGCCTGATGAAAGCTTGGCTGGGAGTGACAGTGAGGAGCTGGACACTGAGACCCACCTGAAGGTGGAGACCAAGGTCAGCGTGGAGCTACACCAACAGGCACAGGGCAACCACTGTGGCAGCCGGCCCCCCCGACCTGGAAAGTGGGGTCCTTGGCAAGCCAGTGGCTGTGCTTAGCAGCCAGCCCCAGGAACAACGGAAAGGTACCTCAGGAAGGCCCTGCTGTGTCCCTAGAGCAAACCCTCATACAGCACATGGCGTGGGGCAGGAGTTCAGCAGCTTGAGTGGGGGTCCTGTAGAAAATTTGGGTTGGGCCTGGGTAAGTGGGTAAGAATCAGGCTAGGTCCATGCACTTGCTCAACACCATCCATCCCCAACTGAGCCACTGCACCTGTGTGCCTGGACTGACTTGGTCACCTCCCTCCTCCCAGGCATCCTGAAAAACAAAGTCACCTACCCACCACCACTGCCAGAGCAGCCAATGAAGTGCCGGCTTCGAGAGAAGCTGGCCGACTGTGAGCAAAGCCCCTCATCCTCCCGCACATCCTCCCTTGGCTCTGGTGACGGTGTCCGTGCCACTGACTGTGTCATCACCATCAAGACTCCAAGGAGGGAGCCAGGCCGTGAACACCTCAATGGGGTGGCCATGAATGTGTGCACAGGGAGTGCTCAGACCAACGGCTCTGACTCCGAGTAAGTAGCCTCGGATTCCAGGGCTTTGGGAGGGTGGGGGCCACCAGCTTTCCCCATCCGGGACCCTTAGAGCCCCCGGGCTTCCCCTCACACCTGACTGGGAATGTCTGTCCCTAAATGACTGTGGACTCCATCCACTTGCCACCATCACTGACCCTCCACACGCCTGGCAATTCTTCCCACACACAGAGGCAGTAACGAAACTTCAATTTGAACCATCAGGAAACCATGAGGCCCAGTCAACCCTACAGACTGCCAGTCAAGCCCTCGGACCTGGAAGCCTGGGACTCTGCTGCCTCTGGGACATGCAGGCCCTTGGTGTGAGAGTCCCTGCAACAGCAGCAGGCTCTACACAGAATGTCCAGATGGGAAGCCCTTGGCCCTCTCAGGAGCTCAGGGCCCATCAGAGACTGTGACAAGTGCCAAAGCCACAGGCATGTCTCAAGAGGGAGACATGGACTTCAGGCTAGCACGGCTCCATCCTCAGACTGCAGACAGAACCCAAACTCATGCTGCTGACCTGGCCACAGGAGGCCTAGGCAGAAGCCATAGAGCCTGAGCTTGGTGAATTACTATGCCAGGCCCTTTGGCTTGCGAGGGTTCAGATGCCTGCAGGCATCTCCTTGCAGTACAAGCCCATAGTCACCAGTCTCAGTCTCTGCAAAGGTACTGTGTCTTAAATTGCTGTTTAAAATTGTAAATACGTATAAATCTGTCCTGGACTTGGAGAAGATGGGAACTTGTGTATATTTTACAATGTCCTGACTTTGCTGACACTGGAGAGCCATGAAATGGCATCTCAATGTATCGCCCAGGGAAGCTTGCACAGCTGTACTTGCATCTGGAATGAGTCAACACAGCTGGTCCCACAGTGCCCAGGTAGGGAGGACATGGGCTCTGAAGTTGATACAGCCATCACAAAGTCCTGCAGCTGCTTCCAGCCAGCAAGCTAAGGAGTGTGGGTGTTCTGCCGGCCTTCAGAGCACACAGCTGTGTGCTCGGCTCTCTAGATATGGGCTGGGGCTGGCCTGTGAAGTGTGACTGCCACAGCTGACTTCACACAGGGTGAAATCCTGACCACTCAGCCACTCCCACACCCTGTGCCAGGCTCACTCCTGATCCTGCAGGCTCCGGGGCTTCCCAGTCAGCCCAGTACTGCAGGGGGAGAATTTATTTGTCCCTGCTCCTGTTTCCCGTAGGATCTCAGTGCTCATGTTCCCGACTCAGAGGGACCTCTGAGGTCTTCCAGGATGTCACATTCCTTCCTACCAATGTTCTACTCTTTCAAACTCCAGAACTCTCTGGGCAGGCAGGGGCTCCACCCCCGAAATCTGACCAATTACATCATTTTGCTTTAAGTAGCCAATTGTGCAGAGAAACAAAGCCACAGTCCCACTTCTCAATGGTTACCAAATTCTTGGAAACTCACATCAAGGACTGCTGTGACCAGCCCAATGCAAGCCACCATGTGGCCAAGACCAAGGGCCTGGGGCCCAGAGTTATTGAGCCACACACACTTCCTTAGCCTCCACTGTTGTTTGAATCAGGTGAACATGGGGTGTACAGCTGCTCTCAAATGGGAGAAACTGAACAAGGACATCAGATGCAAGGACTCTCACTGCGCTGCGCTCCGACGAGTGCACAGGACTGCTGATGATGCGCATGTGTGAGAGGAAAGCCCAGTGACGTGGTCTGAGGTCGCTCACTGCCTGCCACGAGGCTGAAGGGGCGCCCCAAGTGGCCTCTGAGAATGGCAAGGATACAAAGAATGACCTAACATAAGGGAGCTTCAGACTCCAGGACTTGGAGCACTGTGATAGCTCACAATGCCACAGCCCCAGGCCACCCCAGAAAGTGGAGTTTTGAATTTGATCACGATTGTTACCAAAACAAAACAAGCCATCAGTTTTAAACTGTTTTTATGACCGAAGACATTGTAAGTTCAACACTGGAGGTTTTTAACAGGTGTATTTATTACTGTTCAGCACTGGATGACAACACAGGTGAGACACATCTCTAATAAATTAAAATTTTTGGATTTGTACCCATGCATGCTGGGTGTTTCCTGTCCCCACGGACCCTGCTCCCTTAGGTGGCAGGGAGAACTACTGAAGGCAACCTCTAGTGGGATGCGGTAGAAGTCAGGGCTACACAGTACTGTTATAGTTTTCTGTCCATGTGCAGGCCTGCCATGACATGGATGAACTTGCCCAAGTTTTCCAATTCTTCAGTCTGTCTGTATCAAATTTGAGATTTAAGGATTTAGAAAGATTTAATCTGTCTGTATGGATGTCTCTGCCAGTACTCTTAACCACTGTGCTGTCGTCTTCCCAACCAGGGGACGTTTTAAAAAAAAGTGTGTACAGAGACCAGAAAAGGGCACCCATTGTCTCTGTCACGTGCCACCAGTGAGGCAGGGTCTCCCTGAACCTGAAGTTTGTGGCCACACAACTTGCGTGGGTGTTGAGTCCAAGCACTGGTCCTCATGACTGCACAGCAAGCACTTCTAACCACTGAGCCATCCTGCTGCAAATGCCGGGACTTCTTCACTATCCTTTCAGTTTTGTCTTCAGCATCCTCCTCCTCCTGACACTGTAGTGACACATTAGACCCTTTGGTGCTGCTCTGCTGTCCCACCGGTCCCCAACCTCTTGTTCTGCAGATCTGACACTCAGATAGTCATGATGCTCACCCATTCTGCCCTGTAAGCTACACTGCTACTGAGCTCATCTGGTGAGCATCTTACATTCCCACTATGGTTTTCAGTTTTACAATCTGGTCCCTCACCTATGCATGCACCTTCATCTCTGAGGCTCAGTGGATTGGTGTTCCACACACATCTCTCTGGTGCTGCACACATCTTAGGGTTCCACCCATCATCTTTCTTTTGGCTTTGAGAGCCCCAGTGGCATCTTGAGTTCTTTTGAGCCTGGGCCTTGTTTAAACCCTCATCCTAACTTAGCAGCAACCTGATGAGGCCCCGGTCACCATTTCCTGGCAGTGCTGTATCCAGCCCTCATCTCTCAGGGCCTTTATCTTGGTTCCTGTCCAAAAAGGTGAGTTTCCCAAACCTTTAGCCCCCTGTATTGTCTCACACATCTGCCCAGTGGTGCTACCTGTGGGGAAAACCGGGAGCAGAGAAGTGGTGGGTACTCTTTCCCTTTGGCCCATGGGTCCCCTACCCCAGGGTCTCCACCTGGTGTTGCTGAACAGAGAGCCAGCCCAGGCCTGTAGCCATGCACACCTCCCCACTGAAGGTCAGCTTCCAATGTTTTTCTTCACACGTGCTTGAGTACTTCTAGAGTGACATGTGTCCACTTCAACCCCATGCCAAGCTGACAGGAAAACACTGCTTCTACTTGGTGTGGACACTGCCAAGTAAAGGGTTGTCTCACACATACCAGACTTCCAGACAAGGAGAGGCCTAACTCAGCAAACTCTGCCTTCCTTTTAGAGAGAGCTCAGGCCCTGGGAGCAGGGAACAGGGCTACCGCTCTCCCCACGCCTGCTACGCCACATGGAGGCTCAGGGGAAGGAGCACAGCCACAGTGGTCAGACTATTTGACAGTTTTATTTAATGCCGTTCCTGCGCAGCCTCCGTGCACTGCACTGTGGAAGAGCAGCTCCTTCAGGGCCCTTGAGGCAGACCCACCGGCCAGCAAACGCTTCTGGTGTACCGGAGCACCAGCGCAGACGCTCCTTCCCCAGGCTGCCCTGGCTCTGCAGCCAACCCACTGATTCTGGCAGTACCAAGCCCATCACTGACCAACCTGCCCCAGCCTGCTCTAATGCTTCCTCCCGGCGGCATGGCCTTTGTCAGGGTGTGGGGTGCAGGCCTGGGCTGTCACTGGAGACCTCGGGAGTCACTCTGGTTCTGTTCTTGCCCTTCTGGAGTGTGTAGGCAGACGGCCCTAGCCGTAGGATTTTCCCACTGCCAAGACACTCACCACTCTTGTAGAAGACAGCGAACTGGAAAGAAAGGGAGCGCACTGTGTGTGTGTCTCAGACTCCAGGGCAGAGCTGACCAGGCACCTGGCCTAACCGGACAGAATGCTGAGGCCCTCATTCTCCCTCCCGCTGCCCCACTCACCTGTCCCAGGGCAAGGCCCCGCACAGCCTTCACAGCTGTCACCCAGACAGTGCCATCCTGGTTGAGTGTCAGCACACAGGGCACTGTAGGGAGAGTTATGAGATGGGTGTGAGTCTGCTTTCACTGCTAACCACAACCGTGGGGAAAACAGCAGCTTGTGGGTGCAGGGACGCCCAACATCCATCCTGCTGGAGAAGGACGGGACAGTGCCCAACAGGGCTCAAAGCTGCCCTGGCTATGGCATGACACCTCAGAATGGTATATACTGTAACTCAATTCCTCATACTAGGACCCAACTTGCAGCAATTCTGACAAAATGGCACTCCTGTACCTTAGACCCCTTTCTGTGGCCGGCTCATGATAAGGAGTTTTGAAGTTATACAATATCAATGATGGGAACCTCCTCGTGTGCTCAAGGGTGTACTGAGCATGCACAGTCTCTCTGGTTTAGCTTAATCTGACCCAGGGATCTTAGCAACAAGGGTCCCTTCCATCCAGTCACCTAGTGCCATCTGGTGGCGGAATCGGAAATGGCACTCCATCATCTTGTCTCTGACCAAGGCAGCGGGTGGTTCCTCGGCAATCCAGTGTACACGGTTGGTCCTGAGCAGGTCCCTGTACAGAGCTGGGTGGTCTACCTGGGGAGCCTGCAGAGCAGAATATAGACGTTGTGATCCTTTGAAGGGAGCAGCCCTCGCCCCAAAGCCCTCAGCAGGTATAAGAACAACCCTAACAGCATATCCATAGCTAATTATAAGCCAGCCCTGCTCAGCTGCATGTGTCAGCCCACATGTAGAAACCGTTTCATCAGCTTAAGGGTTTGTTCACCCTGGTTTTCAGATGAGAAAGGAACGAGAGTATGGTCAGCCATGGGGCAGAAGCGGAGGGCCCGAGTGAGATTCCCCCATGTCTTGTCACTTCCACCCCGTTTTGCTCTATTCCTAGAGATGTAGGTCAGCCACACAATTGGCCTCCTGGAAGGCCATGGATCCCACCAGCAGCAGGGGCTGAAGGATGCAGCCCCCAACCACTTGGGTGGTTGCAGGATCGTGAGGCTGGCCCTGGCCTGAGCAGTTTTCACTCACACGCTGGCCCTGCAGTACCTGCTCCCATCACCACTAGTCTCTGCACAGAAGAGCCTGGTGCTGCCTCGGGTGGCCAAGGCTCCTCTGGGGCAGAACCAGGAGCACTATGCCCTGAGATTCTGGGTGCTAAGACACTGAGATGGCCTGGGCCCTTGAGCCAATGACCCATCTGGCTTTTCTCAACAGGCCCATCCGAGAGCTTTGCTAAAGACACCTTAACTGAAGCCTGAATAGACATTTCCCATGCTGCTCTTCTAGAAGACATCTGTGAAGTCTGCAGCTTAGGGCCCTGTGGGTCCTCCCTCCATCATCTCTGACCGCACCAGCTGGCAGCTTAGCCTGCCCAAGCATGGTTCCCACCCTTGTACTCCTGAGAGCAGGATTCAGTGAGGGTTGGGGGCTGCCATGTATGACAGGCAGGCTGCCAGCAGCACCTACTCCTCCATAACCCCAAATATTTCTTGATACTGTCAATTTCCTCAAAGCTTACCCTCTTGGAGAATTTTCTCTACACAGCCTAGGACAGAATGGCCCAGGGTCCCATGTGACCAAGGGCATACTTGGTCCTGGCTCAGCTTGGTTCCAGTTAACTACCTTAGCCCACAAAGACTTCTAGGACCCTCCCATGGAGGGGGAGGGGGTGGGCTTACCAGGCACTATGATGACCCCTCTCCATGAGAGGCCTTTGCAGGTTATTTGAGTCTTATCCTACTTTGCAAAACAGGGCAGTTTGTCTACAGATGGTTGCAATGGATGGCACACGGCAGCACACAACAGGAGTCTAGTGATGCTTTATATGAAGACCTTCTGGTACCTTACGCCCGTCCCAGGAGTTATGGAGGGCATACTTTATATGAAGACCTTCTGGTACCTTACACCCGTCCCAGGGGCCATGGAGGACAGGTCTACAGCTCCAGTCCCTGGGACACTCCATCACTGCCTGGTTTACTAGCATACTAGACAGTGAAGGCCAATCTCACTTACCACAAGCACGTCACCCTTGACACCATCCTTCTCCACCACGTACCAGGGCTCTTTCAAGCCGCTGATCTTAGCTCTCTGTCCCAAAGTATACAGGAACCAACCTATGAAACAGTGTTCCAGAGGGCACATCTCAGTCCGCATAAATGGAAGGTTAGGACTGCTATGAGGCATGCTAAATGTTAACTCTTAGCCCTAACCACACACCTGGGCACATCCCACCTAAGGTGAGGACTTGAGGGATATGACAGTAACTAGGGTGATAGAGCCTGAAACCAATGCCAACTCCTTCATCTGGTGGCTATGACCCCTGTGGGGATACAGCTCTGGTGATAGAGCCTGAAACCAATGCCAACTCCTTCATCTGGTGGCTATGACCCCTGTGGGGATACAGCTCTGGTGATAGAGCCTGAAACCAATGCCAACTCCTTCATCTGGTGGCTATGACCCCTGTGGGGATACAGCTCTGGTGATAGAGCCTGAAACCAATGCCAACTCCTTCATCTGGTGGCTATGACCCCTGTGGGGATACAGCTCTGGTGATAGAGCCTGAAACCAATGCCAACTCCTTCCTCTGGTGGCTATGACCCCTGTGGGGATACAGCTCTCAAAGTAGATCTTGTACCTACTGAGCATGTTCCTTGCATCTGCACTGTACACCCGCTTTACCTCCTCAGGAATGCATGTACCCAGCAGAGGCAATTTGGCAGGACTCGCTGCACTCTGGGCAGTCCAAAGCCACGATTTCCTAACTGCTGGCTACCAGGGACAGCAGCACTGTCTCCAGCAAAGTCACTCTCTTCTCCAATAAACACCCAGTTCAGCAGGGTCTCTCCCTCCTCTCAGGGAACCCTGCTCCCTCCACAGGGGCCACACATGACAAAAAAAGTGCACCCTGACCTTCTAGCCAGTCTCACAGATTGGGTTCAGACATCAAGTCTCAGGAGGCATGTCCCTTCCAGCCCATACTGCCTGTCCCCAAATGAGTACTGTGAGCACTTGACTGTCCTCACACGCAGCACAGCACTGGTCATGGTGGTCCTCCTCTGAGAGTATGCGAATGGTCCTCAGTCGCCTGACTATGAGCTCAGCTACATTCTTTCTCCAATGGCATTCCTGCAGTCTCCCTGTACTCCCATAGCAATCAACATACTTTTAGGAATGTAAAACACACACACACACACACAGAGTCCATCTCACTAACTCAGAGTCCAGCTCTGAATCTAGGGACTAAATACAAGACAGAGCACCACAGCACAGAGTGACTATTCATGCCCATCCCAGCCTGCCCCTCAAGTCCTTCCTAAGCCCTTCATGGGATGGACAGGAGCTAGTCCTGGCCTTTAGTTCCCACCAAAGCAGGACTCACCTTTATGCGTTCCCAGAACTTTATTATCCTCGATAGAAATAAACTTTCCAGGCCGAGGCTGCAAATACTGGAAGACAAGTTTCATCACTACTGGAGACCCAGGCCCAGCGCAGACAGCCACTCATGTCAGAGGACACTCACCTGAAGGATGAAGTGCTCAAAGTTTCTTTTACCAATGAAGCAGATGCCCATGCTCTGGAATGAGAGGAAGGTCAACATGTGAGCAGAAGCCAGGAGGCAAAGCAGGGAACAGAGAGCCAGGCTGGGCTAGGAGGACAGCACTCGTGCCAGGCAGAGAGCAGGCTGTGTTGCAAGAAGCCCTAGAATTCAGCACAACACACAGAACTCGGGGGGCCTAGAGAATGTCTTGTCTTTCTGAGTTTCACTGCAAAGTGGATGCTATCATGTAAACACACTGCATCATTTGCAACTAGACTGCGTTGAAAAACCTGTATGAGCAAGCCAGGAGAGCAAACTGGACTCCTCACTGCTGGAGAGCCAGACACCAAGGTAGGGGCAGGGAACAAGGTCATGCCAACTCAAGGCAACAGGGAGTCAGGGAGGAGACGGCTGCAGCTGGCTGAGCCCAGATGAGAGATCAGGTAAGAGGCTACTCTCCCTGGGACTGCACTGGGCAGGCAGCTCTGCCATTACTCCTCAGTGTGTGTCCCTCTACAACACAGGTCACGAGAGAAGGGGTCTGTCCCATTTATTACAGTGACTCTGCTAGTTCCTACCATGGAGAAATGCTGTCAAATGAACAACAGGGAAGACAGTAGAACAGGCAAGGGACATTCTCTTTAGCAATGTGGACTTTCTGATAAAAGGCACAGCCAGGTGTGGCTACAGGTGAAGCTGTACCAACCTCTAATCAAACCTGGACTACTAGGGCTTCTCCCAGGATTCCAGCTCTCCCCCCACAAGGGTTAGCCAGGTTTCCAAGATGCAGTGTGTGAGTGTCCTACAGGGAGCTCTGAGAAGGTGGAGAGGAATTGTCTTCTTGCTACTGTCTCCTTGGATAGGCAGCACTGTGTAGATGGCTGCAGACTCCTGTCTCATGGGATGGGCCAGCATGGCTGCTCCCTGCCTACACTCACCTGGCTGGCTAAGCCAGTTACCATGTCTGCTGAGAAAGCAGTCAGCCACAGCAGGCACAAGAGGGGGTGCAAGGAGGAGGTGGGCCTCACCTACTACCACGCTCTGTATCTTGGTCCAATGGGGTCTTAGCAAAGGCCCCCCCAGAGCCCAGTCCTGCCTGTGCCATGACAACATGGGTGGAAACATTCACGAATCAATGGCAAGCTGCTTAACTCCTACCTCTTTCTTCTGAAGCACATGATGGAGTCTATTCTCTGCAGCTATTTTCTTTACAAAATCTTTTGTTAATTCCCCCAGGGGGAAGATGGTTCTTCTCAGGGCATCCTGGGAAACCTGGCTGAGAAAGAAGGTCTGGTCTTTAAAGCTGTCAGCTGCTTGGAGAAGTTTTACGGCTGCCAAGAGTAAAGAACAAAAGTCATTGAAGGAACACAGATAATGACTCGTTGCTTTTAATGCCCTTCTGTGCGAGCAGCTACTCCCCAGTTGCCAGAAGCAAAACCATCTCAAAAAACTATGGGAAAAAATACTAGCATGGCTAATGTACATGGCCCCCTGTTGATCTATCTATAAGGAACAACACAGGGAAGGTAGATTTTACATACAGAAACCGATCCCTGCTTGTAATTTTGATTGTAAGATTTTCAAATATGGAACACTATATGAAAAAAAAGTAAAGTAGGAAGCAACAATCCTAAAATAAATCTAGTCACATCTGGGACACTAGACAAGACAGCTCATCCAGAATTATGCTGAAGTAGGGTCAGCGGTGAATTTGCCTATCAACTGCAGGCATGAAGTGTGCAAAGAAACACACAGGGCTCTGGCCTTCAGCCCAGCCATGGCGTAGAAACAGCTCTGCTATGGAGTCCAAACTGACATCTCCTGCCAGCCTGCTGTGGTTTCTCTAACTTTCTCCATGAAACTGTGGGGAATGCTTACTGCATACACACAGCTGGGAATGACGATGGCCCTGTGAGTGACATTAGGCTGAGAAGGTGGCCAGGTAAATTTCCCCATGACAGTTCCTACTCAGGTCTGTGGGCTGGTGGGGCTGATGGGTAGATTTGCTTCTCCCACCCTTTCTCACACACAGTGCTAGGGGGCACCCCAGAGTGAAATGTGGAGCACTCCTCACACACCAGCTCAGTGGTGTGCGTGCACATGCATTTGAGAGCTTGTCCACGTCAGTACACGAGTGTGGAAGTCAGGTGACAACCTCAACTGCTGCTCCTCAGAAGTCACCATTTTCTTTTTGAGATGGTCTCTCACTGGCCCAGAACTTACCAACTAGGCTAGCCTGTCTAGCCTATCTTTGCTTCCCCAGTGCTGGGATCACACGGACATGCCACCATGTCTGCCGCTTTTACACAGGCTCTGAGAATTACTGATGAAGCCATTTTGCGAGCTCTACAGTTTAAATACAATTGCATACTTAACACACCAGGCAGCAATAAGCATCACATTGCCTGTAGGTTTCTACCTGCTGGCTCTCACTTATAAAGTGAGCATCTTATAAAGGAGCATTTCCTCCATCTTTACAGCCAGGACTAAGGTCTGGCCCGTGATGATGCAGGTGCCAAAAGGCTGTTCTACAGACTAAGCTGCCTCCCATTTTGACCTGTGACTTTGTCAAAAACAATGCAACTGGCTAAAAATAAGGCTAGAATTCAATCTCTGTCAAAACCAAATTCTCTCAAATAGTGTTTGTGTGCATTTTCTCTTGGTTCTGAGTTATTTTGTCCTGGATTCTTTTTGACTGACTGTTTTTTGAGTATCCCAAGTGCTGGGATTACAGGTGTGCCCCCACATTTACCTTCTGAGTTATTGTAACAAAAACCTATGACTTTGAAACAGGAAGCTGGTAACACTAACAAAAATGCCACAGAGGGAAAGAGCAGGAAGGAGCTAACATCTGAAGAAGTCTACTAGAGTTCAAAGCTTATCTGCTTCTGGGATCCTGCCCTCCAATTGTCCTGCCAGACACCGCACCATGTTCAGAAGAAAACCAGCTGGTTACAAGGTCAGGTCTGCTACTACAGCCATTCCCTGAGCCCAAGACATCTTTGGCCTCCACTTGGATGATCCCCTAGGACTCAGACCAAAGCCACAGAACAGCTTCGGTTTGTCTAAAACACACACTGGAAACCAAGGCATCATTAAACTATCGCAGGGTACCACTCAGCACAGGGCTTAACCATCTTAGGAAGGTCACAACAAGTATGGAATAGACAAAGGTGAACATGTCCTTGACACGAGCAGATTTATCTACTCAAGATGGGAAATGACTCTCCATCTGCTTGGGCCCCTGTTAAAACCATTCCAATTATTACTGTCAAATATTTCTGGAAGTTCAACTTGCCAACATGTAATAACCTACATGATAGGTTTCTGATCACCTTCCTCAGCTTTCACCCTAACTTTGACCAGGGCATCACAATGCTCACCCACAGGCCCAGGGAAGGTAACTCTGCTGCTACCTGTGTCTTTGCAACTCTAAACCTAAAGGAACCAGCTAATCCGAGAGCACACAGGATTGGGAGCGGGGCTGCATGTTCATCCTTCTAAGTGCTCCTGTGCTCACAGAGATTAGAGCTCTGGCCACACACATGAACTTACGATTTCTGACTTCAAATCGATTTCTGAACAGCCCATCTGGTCTCTTAGTGTGCTTCTGCTCAAAGACTTCCTCATCTTCCAGGGAGGTCCTCGCGTAGTGGCCAGTGGCGACGGCATCTGCTCCTGGAGGGTTTTCAAAACACAAGGATCCAGTGAGGCTTAATTTGCTGACAGTTGTGTTGTAGTTTTTGTCGACCCCACACAAACTGGAGTCACTTGGGAAGAGGAATCCTTAATTAAGAAAATGTCTCATCAGACTGGACTTTCTCCATCAGACATCACACTTTTCTTTTCTTTTGAGACAGGATCTCTCTATATGGTGCTGGCTGTCCTGGAACTCACTATGTAGACTAGGCTGGTCCTGAACTTCCTCTGTCTCCTGAATGCTGGGGCCAGTGGTGTGTGCCACTATGCCTGGTGTGTGGACATTTTCTCTATAAAGGATTGATGTGGGCAGAACTACCCCAGGAAGATGGTCATGTGTTACAGAAGAAGCAGGCTGAGCAAGCCAGGGAGAGCAGCCAGTAGGCAGCATTCCTCCATGGCCCCTGCTTGAGTTCCTGCCTTGGCTCCCCCGATGGTGGACTGGGACTGGGACACATAAGCCAAACGAACCTTTCCTTCCCTAAGTTGCTTTGGATCATAATTTTTTATCTCAACAATAGAAATTAAACCAGGGTAACAGCCTAGATAAAGCAGCATGCAGAAGCAGTCTCACCCTGAAACCTGCACAGCCATCAACCCACCCTGCCTACAGAGGGCATGGAGGCCTGTGTGACAGCCCCATAAGCAGGCTCCCTTCAACTCCTAATGTGAGCTAACAGAACCTCACAGCTTTAAAAGAGTCTTTCAAAAGTCCGAACTGATCCACTCACTCGCTATAGCTTGCACACACAAAGATTTAAAAGCTTACCAGTTTCTCCCAACACTAAGGAAAAACTGGAAACCAAAGCATCCAGCAGCAGGAGGTGTGAATTCTGATGCTGCAGCCTGAAGGGAATGGCACTTACAAAGCACTGACTGATGAGACCACACCAGGGCAGTGGTAAGCGGAGGAAAATGATGCCATACTGTGCTCACCCATGGCTTTTAACGTACAGGAAAAAGTGGACAAACTCAGTCTAATTCCTTTTATTCTAATACCAAATCATAGATAAGCTACCCCTCTCTTTTCACTGTCAGTAATTTTTGGTAAGTGTGTATTGTTTTATCATCCAGAAGGACCACTCAACACACATACTCTACCTTTCCACCGTGACAAGTTCGGGTGTCTAGTGCGGGAGACTGACCTGGACGGCACAGCAAAGCAGACTCAGACCTGAGCAGCTGCAATGCTGGGCTAACACAGGAAGCCTCAAGCACTGAATGCAAACTCCCAACTAGGACGTTCCAGGGCATAACATGACATCTCATTTTCTCACAGGTCACTTCCTTAAGGACAGTCACCTACACTGCAAAAAGTGTGGAGCTCTTCTAAGAGAAGCCCCACTTCCTCAGAAGCCTAGATTTCAGGTGTGTGACCATCAGGTGGGCTCTAGTACAGGCTTCACACAGAGAGAGGCAAGGGGACACTGCAACAGGGAACCAGGTAAGATGTGACACAGATTACCTGGAGGACCAACACACTAGGTCAAAGACTGACTGAACCTCAATGCAAATGCATCTGAGAGGCTAGGTGTCCTCTGGGTTCCCAAGGGCCACACTCTGGACAGCAATGACTCCAGTCTAAGCAGTCTTCCTTTTGCCAGTGTAGTGAAATGATTCACAAGGCCTTAAGTCCTGGCCTGCTGCTCTGTGAGTGCTCTGCGGACTCCCATTTTGTGCAATTCTGGCTACAGCCAGGCCGGCCTGCTCATGTGCCCTGCCCTGCCCTGCCTTCCCTGGCCAGGAGGGTTTAGAATTTGCTATGAAGCTAGGCTGGCCTCAAGCTCCAACAGCCCTACCTTAGCCTCCCCAGGACTAGGACTACATTGGTGTGCTATCACTTTCTGCCTGGCAGACACTTGAGAGCTCTGCTGTCTTGGGCATTCCCACATTCCAGCTGATGCAGGTGACCCGCAGGCTCCCACGCCTGCTGCTTCTGTTCTCTTCACGGATGCGCTTTCCTGACTCACTACTTTCTGAGAGTTCTCTACTTACAGTGCCCCACCTTTCAGTCTTTAGGTCGATGGCCAAGCACACCTCCTCTCAGATACGAGAAGCCAGCTGCCTGCCCATGAGAGAGGGCACCCCCTCCCAAACTGAGCTACAAAGTTCTTTCTTATTCAGTGAGCACTTTCCTTCTGCAAGACAAAGTTGTCTACAAGGTTCTGGCTTCTGACTGCGTGGAAAGCTACGATTTAAACAAGCAGATGAAGAGACCCCAGTTCCTTACCGAGATTGTCCACGGCGTAATGATAAAAGCAACTGAACTTGACGTGTTTATTGCACATGATGTCAGGGTTGGGAGTCCTTCCCTTCTCATACTCATTCAAAAAGTCACTGGAATAAAGGAAAACACCTCAGATCCAAGTGACACAGTCCTTACCATAAAAAACAAATTAGTTAAGTTGCCTGTTTAATGTGCAATTTCTCTTTATTGTCCCAAAACTGTACTTTCCTCCCCCACGAGAGCTTCATTATCAAATCATTTTCCTATGTCAAGCGGCTTCCAGAACTCACAGGTGTGAATGAGAATGACCCCCATTGGCTCAGATGTTTGAAAATTGGCTCCCAGTTGGTGGTGCTGCTTGAGCAGGCTTAGGAGGTGTAGCTCTGATGAGGAAATGTGTCACTGGGGAAGGGTTTTGAGGTTTTCAAAGCCATGTGCCATTCCTAGTTCACCCTCTGTACTGCTGTGCTGCTGCTATGTCTGCTGTCTGCTTTCAGCCCTCTGAAACTGTCAGCGTAAATAAACTCTTCTATTGGTTGGCTTGGTCATAGTGTTTTGTCACAGCAACAGAAAATTCCCAAAACATGTGTAAATGGACCAGACACTGCTCTAGAACTTTGTATGACTTCAACTCATCCTTAGAATGTTCCTGGTAGGTGTGAGCATTATCCTTGATTTAAAGAAAACTGAGACTTAGAAAAAATCAAATGAATTTTCAAAGGTCTTCTAAGTGGCAAAGTTGAGACAGGCCTATTTAGGCAAGGGCAACCCACAGTGAACATGGCCTGGTATCTCTGACATGTGCAAGGACTCCCAGGCATTGAGCACTGTGAAGGTTCAGAGACTAGCCTGGGTGTCTTTCTCTGAAGGAGTAAGTGTCTAGCCAAACTTCACACATTCCTGAGACAGATGAGGATCATGATCCCCCCTCATGGCTGCTCTTGCACCCCACCTAACAGCCTCTATCTAAGCCTTCCTTGAAGTGGCTCAGGCCCCTCCTCTTCCATGAGGCTCTCAGACCACACTCTGTACCATACCATTCTCCCTCCTCTCAAACCAGGGAATTTCCTACAGGATGCTCACCACCATCAGCACCAGCACCTTTGGTAAAGACTCTATCATTCAAGTAGACAGCCAATTCCTACAAAATAGGGCCAAGATGTACATGCTTTTTATTCTTAGATGTAGTACAGTGCTGAGCATATAGTAAACAGTAATAATTACTGTGTTTGTGCTGGGCTGTAGTGGCACACGCCTTTAATCCCAGCACTCTGGAGGCAGAGGCAGGCGGATCTCTGTGAGTTCAAGGTCAATCTAATGACAGAGTGAGTTCTAGGACAGCAAAGGCTACAAGAGAAACCCTGTCTTGGAAAACCAATAAATACTATGTTTGATTTGATGGAAGTTTTGCTTGCTGTTTGTTTTCAATAGGCCAGGGCAATGCTTCACAAAACCCTCCACCCAACCTCATCTTACTTTGCTTCATGTTGCTATGATAAAGACCATAGCCAAAAGCAATCTGGGAAGGAAAGGGCTTATTTGGCTTATATGCCCTGTTCACAGTCTATCTTTCAGGGAAGTCAAGGCAGGAACCTGGAGGCAGGAACTGATGCAGAGGTCATGGAGGAAGTGTTGCTTATAGGTTTGCACCCCATGGTTCGCTCAGCCTGCTTTCTTCTACAGCCCAAGACCTCCTGCCCTTTAGTGGGCTGTATTGACCCACATCTATCATTAATCAAAAAAATGCCCCACAGACTTGCCTATATTTTCTCAGTTGAAGTTCCGTCTTCTCACATGACCCTGGCTTTTGTCACTTTGATAAAAGAACAAAACCTAACCAGAACACTCCCATAACTATTATACACATTACATAGGTATTGACTCTCATCTCCCAGCACCTTCTGGGGAGACCTCAGCCTTCACTCCTCAAGCCACGGCTCAGAAACGCACTAAAGAAACCACTGGCAGGTGGGAAAGATCCCAAGAGTGTGAGGCTGCTGTCTGTGGAGAAGCACCGGCTGTTCTCACCCTTCCTTGAGAGGGCTCACAGTACCGTGGAGCCGCGTGTGCAGCGGCCTGCGCTTACCTGAACACGTCGTTCCAGTACTCCTTCACATAGGACACCTGGTGGAAAGGGATGTCTAAGAGCTGACAAACTTTATACGCATCTTCACAGTCCTTGTCGGCAGCACAAACACCGTGCTCATCCAGTGAGTCCCAGTTCTTCATAAACACCCCTGTCACCTGGTAGCCTGCAGAGAGAAGTTAGGGTGCTCCTAGCAGGTCGGACACACCGTACCCCTCCAGCCCTGGTGCTGGTGTATTCTGAATGACAGTCCAAGCCTTCCATGTGGCCTAGGTGGCTCACTCTGTAGTGTAATCCCTGTAGGCTCTTCTGCCCCTTAGTGATCACTGCACTGTTAAGGCCTCCACACTGTAGTACACTGTCCACTGAAATGCCATGCGAGTTAGGTCACACACATCCCAGTATGGGATGAGGCCCTCTTCTGCATCTGGAAGCATCCAACTCTGCTTTATCACAGAGACTAACCATGCTGGGCTCAGCTCCTGAACTAGTCTTGCACTTAACTTATGAAAGCACAGGACTCCTCAAGGGCAGAGATGGCGTAATTCAACCCTAGGTCCCCAGAACTAGTACAATGCCCATCGAGTACATAGCCAGTTTGTAAGAGCGGACTCTACAGAGCTTGAGAACCTCACTATTCCCATGCCATATCCACTTGATCAACTATCTCACAAAGAGACATGACCCACATACAGTGAGACTGGCACTCCGGGACCAGCTTTCTAGGGAGTGCATGATAGGACATCACCTCCAAGAGCCCTCAATGCCAGAATAAGAGGATAATGCTCTCCCTTGATGTGTGTCCATGAAAGAAATCCAAGGAAAGATAGAAATAAGCGATGTTGCAGCCTGGAGGGGGAGAAACTATGTTTTGGCTAGGTTTCCATTGTTGTAATAAATAGCATGACCAAAAGCAACTTGGAGAGAAAAGAGTTTATTTTGCCCTAAAAGTCACAGTCCATCATCAAGAGAAACCAAGACTGGAATTCAGATCAAGAACCTGGAGGCCACAAAAGAACACTGCTTCCTGTCTGGTTCCCCAGGGCTTACTCAGCCGGGACCACCTGCCCAGGGGTAGCATTATTTATAAAGGAATGAGCCTCCTACATCAATTATTAGTCAAGAATATGCCTCACAGACTAGCCTACAGGCCGATGCGATGGTGACATTTTCTGAGTTCCCTCTTCCCTGAGGACCCCAGCATGTGACAAGTTGACATAAAAACTAGCCAGCAGGGCTTATCTTCCTTAAGCAGTAAAATGATAAACCCGGGAGAACAGTCAACCGACTGTATCCCCCAAAGCATCTAGTCACAGACCTCACTGGAAACCTTCAAAGGCTCACAATACCATGTCAGCTTCAATGCCTGGAGAGTAACCCTCTACATCCTACCCTGGCCAGACCGTGTCAGCATCTCTCCTGACTCCTGCCTGTGATACTGACTCTGCCTCGGCAGCCAGCCCTTTGTAGAGAACTCCTACAGAGCGTCTGCCTCTAGGCTTAGCTTCTTTCTCCCTTTTTTACACAGTGTACATGTGTATGCTATGCCCATCGTCTTTGGCACTTAATATCTCGCACGGCAGCTGTGATTACAATGTAAAAGAATCGCTCCTGCTTCCCGATCTATTTCATATTGCCTGGCTAACCCTTTCACTACATACTATGTCATTTCCAGCCACGCCAAATTTGGGGTCATCCCACTTGACGGAGGGGTGCTTAATAAACTTGCCCAAATTCAGGCTCCTTGCCCCGCGCCTCGGGGAAGGTGATCTACGGCTGAGGCTCCATAAAACTGTCACGTGAACGCAGAATGGGGACGAAATGAGGTGGGACCACACCGCGGGAGGCATTTAGATGGGTAATTGATATCAGATCCAGGCCCTAAGGTCCTGTGGGGCTACGTCTAGAAATCAAGAAGATACGGTAGCCGTGGGAGGAAGGTTTGTCATTCAACGAAGGGAAAACAGTGAGTGATTCAATCAGCAGCAGTTGGCCGTCCCCAAGTGGACGCCCGCGGAGTGTGCAGAGGCCAGGCCTCAAGCCTGGATGAGCCCAGTTCCTGTCCCCAGTGAGGAACCCTGGCCTCACCTCTCCGCCGCAGCAGCAGCGCAGCCACCGCGCTGTCCACGCCGCCAGACAGGGCGCACACGACGTGCCGCAGCGCCGACATCTGCCTACACCGCAACTCTTACCAGCAGCCTTCTGGCCGCGTCCACGCTACGCCGGAAGTTCCGCCTCTGGGGCGTCCTTACTCTTTCCCCGGTCGGAAACGTGCTCCGCCCACCCAGCGTTCTGCCCGCCTTCTGGTTCCGCGCGGCGAGTTGGCTGAGGTACTTGGTACTTGGTCGTGTGCGGGAGAGGTCGCGTGTCGGGCTTCACAGCCACTACCCGCTGCTCCTGTTCAACCTTTCTTTCAGTGCCCAGCTATGCTCCCGATTCAGCTGTACCAGGAACAGCCTCCGCTCTGGCTTGAGTTCCCAAGGGCGAGGACACAGTGTTGTGTCTGCAGCTGGCTCCTCATGGTTACTGGCTAGAGGGACTGGACTGTCACCATGTTCCCACTAAATTCTAGACAGTTCTGAGAGCTGGCAGCGTGTCCTCCTGGTGCAAATGTCTGGAGCTGCTGCAGGCCCGGAGGATGCAGCGGCCAACAGAGGACAGAGCAAAGTGGACTGTTACTCAGAAAGGCTTCCCTAGCTGCTCGGTCAGCGTGTTGGAGTAGGCAATGGGCACATGGTTAGGAGGCCCAGTGAGCTGGGAAGGATGGGCCACAGCGGGTAGGGAGCATTTGGAATTGAACCTGGTGCTGTGGCCATGAGATACCACGTGCAATGCGGGGGTTGGCGAGATGGCTCAGGTTAAGAGCACTGACTGCTCTTCCAGGGGCCCTGAGTTCAATTCCCAGCAACCACATAGTGGCTCACAACCATCTACAATTCAATCTGGTGCCCTCTTCTGGCATGTAGACAGAACAATGTATATGTGATAAATAAATCTTAAAAAACAAAAATTAAAAATGTCTTTAAAAAAAAAAGAGTGCAGTGCGTTCGGGACGCAGAGACAGACGGATCTCTTCTTAGTTCGAGGCCAATCTAGTTTACAGTGCGAGTTCCAGGACAGCCAAGGCCACACAGAAAAACCCTGCCTCGAAAAACGTAAAACATACAATAAAAGATGTGTGTTTCATAGGCCATTCTTGGAGAACAAACAGCACTCTGAGGGGTCAGCTTTGATGAGCGAATGCCTTTGGGCCCTCAGGCTGGAGCTGTGGCTCTTCCTGAATTCATTGTGGGGAGCCTGGCACCTGATAGGTGGTGGGTGACTGCTGCAAGAAGCTAGTAGATGTGCTAGGCCTAAAACCTAAATGGGGGCCGGGGGGGGGGACAGGGTATGAAAGCTAAGTAGGAGTCTTTGGCAGGCAAGAGGGCAAGGGAGTGTCCCAGCCAACGATAACACAGCCCACCGGACCAGGACGTCCCTTCTTGGGTGTGGGCATTTAATATAGCAAGTCTCACTTTCTCTGCCAGAGCCTGTGATAGGGCCAACTACAAAGTAGCAGAAACTTATGTTGTCCTAGTTAGAGTTTTCTGACAACCTGCCCAAGATAGGGGGGAACAATTGGTAAACCACTTCCATTAGATTGGCCCTTGGGCAAGTCTGTGGGATTTTCTTACATTTTTGATTGTGAGCCTAGACTTTAACAGCTGAGCCATCCCTATTTTTTATTTTGTATATATGAATGCTCTATCTGCATGTATGCCTTTATGCCAGAAGAGGGTATCAGATCCCACTATAGATGACTGTGAGCTCCATGTAGTTGCTGGGATTTGAACTCAAGATCTCTGGAAGAGCAGCCAGTAGTCTTAGCTGCTAAACCATCTCTCCAGCCCCCCTCCTGGGGGGAGGGAGGAAGGTATATTTTGATTGATGACTGATGAGTAGACTCCTGTGAGCAGGGCCACCCCTGTGCAGCTGATCTTGGTTGTAAAAGAAGGCCATCTAAGGAAGCCGTGGGAACAAGCCAGTAAGCAGCATTCCTCTGTGGCCTTGGCTTCAGTTCCTGTTTGAGTTCTTACTCTAACTTCCCTTCCCGTTGGACTGTGTTTAGGGTGTGAAAACCAAATTAAAGCCTTTCCTCCCAAAGCTGCTTTGGGTCAATGTTTTACAGAAAACAAACTAGCATGCCTTTTTGATTAAACACATGGTATTTAGCTAACCTACAGCTCTGAAAGTCTGCAGTGTGACATACCACAGACCAGTTGTGGCAAAGGTGACCTGGTAAAGTACTATGTGGCAACAACATAAAAGGCATGTGGCTCTCAGAAACACTGCCCCACAAGATGGTAAAAAAAATCCGCAGCGAGGCTTCTGCCATCTGGGAGGGTGAAGGTTTAGTTATCAGCCTGCGTACTTTACGACAGTCCCTCAGCCCAAGTCTCCAGCCAGCGTCACTAAGCTGACCCTTTGAACAGCCAGCTTAGGACATGTGAAGAGCAAGGACTTAGGGGAAAGTTGCCTCTGAGTATTGTCAGAGGGGAAAGCAGAGACTGTAACACAGGCTGCCAAACATCAGCTGCCAATAGAGCAGAGCCCTGCTACGTAAGGAAAAGGCACACCTGGGCTGGGCCAGAGCCAAGGGCTAAGTACAGACACTGAGTGGACACCCCCAAGGTAGCCTGGCTATTATTATGGGTTAACGCCTTTTCCCCACCAAACAACCCACTGAACCCCAAGGGAAATGCAGCCCCTACTGCAAACCTAGTACTTGCTTAGAGTACAATACCACATCTCCTTTTTCCCATATGGATGGATTAGATTTGGGAAGGTGAGGGCACCTTAAAGGGCTAATGCTCAGGATTCCAAGCACTGCCCACTGGGGAAGAATCTGCCATCCCTCAGGGAATGCAGCATGCCGGACCTAAGATCTATGTTAGATGGATATGCTCACTTTGCCACGGTTGATGCCGTAACTATGCTGAGTTCACCACATAGCCAGAGAATGAGAAACCCATCCAGACTTTTCTCACAACTGTGGTCAACGAGAGGCCCCAGCCTGAAGCAGAGACATGAGTGGGGCCCACACAGTGCTTTCTGCTGTCATCCACAGGTCGGTAGCTTCCAGGCAGCTAGTCTTTCTTTAGCAAGTGAGGCTTTAAGCATGGAACTGGCTCTCCAGTGACCTTCTTCCCAGTGTCCCACATAATCTGGTTGGTGTGTCCGCAGAAGTGCCCCAGTGAAGAGAGCTACAGGCTCAGTCCCTATCATGTTGAAGCCGAACCTTCCTCCTCCCTTTATTCTCTGCACTCTAACTACCCAGAGCCACCTGTGAAAGGTGTGGTCCTCAGACCACTGCATCAGAATTAGCCAACTGTATTAATAATGCAGGTTATTAGGCCAGCCCAGATGACAGGCAGTATACCTGGGGTGGACCAGAGACTGATATTTATACTAGTTTTATTATCCTACATTTTACAAAATTGAGGTTGGATAAAAACAGCGCTCCATATCCAAGCATCGAGTGTGAAAAAAAAAAAATCAAGCATACTTTAATATACTGTACTTTATAATTTAATTTAAATCTGGAATATTTAACTTTTCAAACAAATTTAAGTTTACAAACTGTCATTTTCTATTTTACATACAAAAGAATCAAAACAGTGTTTAGAGAGGTGTGTTCAAGCCTAGAGAAAAGGCAGGGAGCAGGGCAGTCACAGAGGTGGATTGCTTAGATCCACAGGGAGAAGCCCACCTGAGCACTGCTCCAGATACAAGCAGTGTAATAGGCCTCCCCCGAATCAAATACAATTCCTTCCAAAATTTGCTTCTACGGCCCTAAAGTCACAACAGAAATAAACAGAGTAAAGGGCAGAGAGTTGTGCTTTGCTCAGAACTTGAGAAGTGGTGAGTCCACATTTTCTTTGTCAGCCTCAGGGCTCAGGTGGATGAGCGGGGAGCCCAGGTCAATCAGCTGGAAGAGAACAGATAAAGGTAAACACAGTTGCCTGGACAGCCATTGCACAGATAAGCAGGTGCAGTGGCTGAGCCAGTCCCACCTGGAGTCCAGGGACAGAAAAACAACTCAACACAGCAGCAAGGTCAAGGAGACTGAACCACCGTTTCTAAGACTCTTAGAGAACCCTCAAACCCATAAGCACTGTGTGACTCCCTGACACAGCGGGCAGGAATGTGTGGTGATGGGGATGTGACTGCTGCCCTAACAGCTCCTCCAGGTTCAGCAAGATGCCTGATGGCAATGGGTGACCGTAGAGAAGCCAAGCCTGCCCAACCTGAGTTCGAGACACAAACGCTGTGAGTCCCATGCAGGGTCCAGGTCTGACAGCACCCTGGGCTGAAGTCAGCATGAGTCCCCTGCTGTTTCTTACCTGCCCAAGCTCAGCTTTTGGAGGTTTCCCTACATCATTTCTACCCATGTCTGGAGTGTTCATTATAAGGTCGATCAGGGGCCAGCTGCTGGGTCCCAAAGCCATGTTCGACTCAGGGGTGTTGCTGAAGTCGATGAGAGGGCGGTCAGCTAGGTCTCTGCCTCCTGCTTCAGGAGTGATGGTGAGCTGGTCCAGCTTGATGTCTAGGAGAAGACCCTAGGCAGGACATGGAGAAAGGGAAAGTCCAGCACCACTTTGGTGCCCGCCACCACCCTGGGAAGTCAGGCTTTGCCTATGACTTAGGACTCACAGCCTGGGGCCCAAGGGAAAGGCAGGGGTGGGCACTGAGCAGGAGTAAGTTCCCCTCTGGGCAGTACACACTATCCAGTTGTAGGAAGCTTCACCCTGCTCTGTTCCCACCCTCTGATCCCCAACAACTCCTCTGTCAATCATTTCTTTAGTCCCTAGTCCTGAGCCCGAGTCTGCGGGAACCACAGGCCCGGCCACAGGGTGGAGGAGGACGGGAACTGTGACTCCCTGCCTGTGACCCCGTGGTGGCACGTTAACTGCAGCCAGCTCCATGTACCTCACTAGGGTTTGTGTTGTCTTCATGAGGCTCTGCTTCACCCTGAGCCACCTCTGTGGAGGAGCCATGGGAGGGAGGAAAGTCACTCTTCTCTGGAGAAAAGTCAAGTGCTTGAGGCACGGAGGACGGAGGGGAAGAGCTCTCATCTGAGGACAGGCCTTGGCCCTGCCCACCATTGGCGTTGCTGCTGCTCTCCTGGGTCGGCTCCGCTCTGGGGGGGGGGGGAAGAGAAGGGTGGGAGCTGTAAGATCTTTCTAACACACCTTTCATCA